TTTACTTCACTTCTCAGTGTACTGTGGCTTTGTGTAGTAAAATCGACACATAAAATGGCCAACTTACCACATACAATAACAAAGTTTTAACTCCAAAGACTCACCTCATATCTTCAGTCGAGTGTTTGAAATAAATTCTTAAAAAGTCAGATGGTTTTGTAGTCATGTGTATAATCTCTTATAAATATAAAAACAAAGACTTTTTTGCTTTAATAACACGAATTATGGGGTCATTTTAAAAGTTTTTATGTGGTTAACTCAATATTGATTTTTTTAAGCTGTAAATCAATCTTGTTTTTTCACACCCTGTATTGCATATTCTGACAGCTCATTCAATAGATTTGTGACACAAGAGTACCTTAAATGAGAAAAAATGTTTAGGACATAGGTTTGTGGATCTTAATTTATAAGCATTAATTCACCATTTGTAAACTAGCATTTGTCCTTGAACCAAATTAAACTGAGAATAAAATCAAGTGTTAAATCAAATCTAAAGGAAATAGGATCTGGACATCTGAATAGGCATGGGACGATAACCGTTTCAAGGTACCATGGTTTCAAAACAAGTTTTAAGACTGCCAAAATTTTCTTCTATACGGTTACTACGGTGTGTAAGGTTTTTTTTATGTTTTGTTTAAAGTTTTTTAGGACAACAGTATCTTTAGCAGAAAATATCTAAAACAAATCTTTTCAATTTGAAATAAATCTGTGCTTTTGAAACTAATGAAGACAGCAGAAGTCAATAATTCAAACTGCTCCAGAATAATAAAAATGTTTCTCAAAGTAAAATATATTGTGCTCAAAGAGGAAAAAAAAGTTTTATTTTTTTTACCCAGACATTTAAAAAGAAAACATATAAAAAATAAAATAAAATTTTAGAGGTGTAATCACAATACCGTAAAACTTACTGTCAGAATCTTAAACCGACCCATGCCTACATGAAAACCGCTATTTGGAATAGATTTATTAAATTAGATTGATTGGGATGATTCTGTAAGGAAGTTGATTATGCATGAAATGCAATAAACAAATAACAAGCATAGATAAATACAAAAAAGCAAAGTGTAATAGTAGTGATTTATGGTTTTCAGGGCAGCCAAATAGTATTTAAGTACAGAATTTGAATAATCAATGTAAAATTACACTCTAAAAGTCTTTACTGTATAAATAATTCAATTAAAGAATTCTTTATTAAAGAATACTATATGTCCATGAATACTTTGAACTCTGTCAGGCCTTAAAAACGTGTGGAAAAAAAAAAAAAACTTTCACTCTATTATTATTATTATGCAATTATTATGCAGATGTCTCTGACTGTCCGTCACTTACTTGGCCCAAATAAGTCAGAATTTACTATCCGTAGAGCTTAAAAAGACAAATTACCTCACCCAAGCATGTATTGTTCTCTTCTCTCACTTCAATGTATGTATTAACAAATGAAACCTTAACAACCAATCAGGCATGTTTGCACAAGACAATGCCACTGCCACCACCTTAAAAGTCGAAGGACTCAAATGACAAATGCAAATCCTTCAGACAATGACTAGGAGTTTGTCTATTCAAAATCCTCATATCAATAACTTTAACCAGCCGACTGCAAAAGAGAGTATATGCGAGTATAAGAGGCTTTTCTGGTTAGCTGATGGAAAAAATAAAGGATTTAAAAATTCCCAAGATCTCCAAGCGGAATACAGAGACACTGCTACTTTACAGGGTATACGCTACTGAAAACTGGAGTTCGGCCTAACACCTGGAGACACTTACTTGAGATTTACAACAGCATTCAGCTCCTCACAAAAACGCATTTTGTCTTAAGTTATTACCTGTAAGAAGGATCAGCTCCAAGTTTGGGTCTATTTTTGTGTCAACCGGAAGGGTGACTGATTTCCACATTTGTCCAAAAAGAAACCCCTCACTGTTCTCCACTACACGTAGCATGAGAACTGAATTTGGCCAATATGACTGCCATCAGATACATTCATGTGATTCAATTAGTCTGAGAGAGGAAGTTTCTAAAATAAAACCCCCAAAATTCCAGGCACGGCAGTCTGGTTCTTTAATTTTATATTGTTTAATGTGGTGCTGCGGTGTGTGTGCGTGCTGGTAATGCCATCTGACTTCCTCAGAAACATATGCTGATTGTTAATTATACAGCAGCTACAGATCAGTTTATAACCTGCAGTGGAGTTAAATAATGTTCATAACGAAGCACTTAAAAAAAAGACTAAAAAAAAAAGTTATTTTACCCTTAGCATGACATTAAGCAGTATGTTAAGGACGGAATACATTTTTAATCAACATACTAAATTAACCCAAAAAGCCTAATTCTTTCATATGTGTCAAATGTAAATCAATAGCTTAAAAGTATGCTAATCTAAAATCTGCTTTAAACTAATTTTTGTACAGTCTACAATATGCCATCTGTCATCTGGTACTAGGCATGGGCTTACGGGTATGATAACCTTGGATAAAAACACCACGGTTTCACAGTATCACGGTAATGTGATTACTGCTCTAAAATTACATCTTTTTAAATGTCTGAGTAAAAAAAAATGTCAGGGTAAATAATTAAAATAATTCATTGACTTCTGCTGTCTTTTATTTCAAAAACATTTGTTTATTTATTTACAACACATAAAAATTATTTTTTTTAAACTTACATATACCTTAGGAACGGTATAACAAAAAATTTTAGCGGTTTTAAAACCTTGTCTTTTCCAAGCCACGGTAAACCTTGAAACCAGTTATCGTATAATGCCTAAATGGTGCTACAAGTAATACTTAATTATTTAAAATAATTGTAAACAAAAAAAGTCTTCTTGGTTAGTATTATTTGCTTGATATTTAGGTAAAGATGGTTTTCTATTCACACATTCAGACATTCTCCTTAATAACATAATAAATAATGAAATCATATTAGCAGCCAACGACTATCAAAGTACAACATAGTTCAAAATCAGTTAAATAGGGCTCATGTTTGTTTTGAAGTCATACTTGGATGTAATGGGTTATATGCACACAGACTTTATATTTTCAGAGAGGCAGCCCAAGGGCTTCCAGTGAACTGTCTTTCTATTACAAAATTGTCACGTTTAAGTGCTAATCGTCACTGCCTGTTAGATATACGATATGAAGAGGGTCTCAGATTGGACAAGAAGCACTGCATCAAATTCCATTTCCCCACGTTATGTCAGTTTATTTTACCTCAGTATTTCCAATGGAATTTCTGCGCTAGCCTGTTGCTACTGACGGTGCTAGTGGTTACAACTTCCTTTCTATCTTGTTTTATGCTTAAACAACTAAATAAATGCTTAAGTCTATTTAACTGGATGTATTGTAAATACATCACAACATCAATGCGGTAAAAACAACCTTGCAAAATTGAAAATAGTCACGGAAGTTGGCTTCAAAACTCTGGCTATGCATAGAGCCCATTTCAGTCCGAATATTCAAAGTCCCATGGTAAACAATATAAGGAGCTGTGGTGAATGAATGTGCGAAGATAAAACAAACTTTACCTCAATTTGCTTGATTACTCATTCATATGTTGGGTAGGCTAAATTGTCCGTAGTGTATGAGTGTGTGTGTGTGAATAAGTGTGTGTGGATGTTTCCCAGAGATGGGTTTCGGCTGGAAGGGCATCCGCTGCGTAAAAATGTGCTGGATAAGTTGGCGGTTCATTCCGCTGTGGCGAACCCCGGATTAATAAAGGGACCAAGCCAAAAAGAAAATGAATGAATGACTCATTCATGTTTATAGAAAGTGGTGAGGATGATACAATAACATCTGACACAACACGCTTTTAAATGTTGCCTGTTTTTTTTTTTTTTTGTAAATAGTATTATTGTATTGAGTTTACATCATATATTTTGCCACCAACAAAGGGATAGCATAGGGAGAATTTATATTTACATGCAGTCTGCTAAACTGTTGTGAAGAACTTACAGATTTACATTTCCTGTCATCTAACATTCATCGTTTTAAAATTTAGATCATGAAAATAAAAATGCAAAGCAAATATAAAATTGTAGTTTAGTTTGAATAGCTAAATAAAAGATGAGTCTTATATCCTCATTTATCACAAAAGCTATAATAATAAACCTTGATGTATCAAGTAGGTTTCAAAACATTTGAAAACATATATTTTGTCTAAATGTTCGATATGCTGTAAACGTTCTGATCATGTCAGGCTTTTTAGGGCTAAGGCAAATGACAGCTATTCGACAACTTTTGTATTATTCTGAGAAATGAAATTCAATATACTATTTCAGAGTGAGTAAATAATGACAGAATATTCCTTTAATTCTGTAACAACACATAAGCCACCTGTTGTTATTAAGATTACGAAGGTAAATTCCAAATGGCCTTCTGCCACAACCAAAAACACATCGTTTAACAATCAAAACAGTGCATGAATCTATTAATTGTGTTAAACGTGAAACACAAAACTCACACCAAACAGCAAATGCATGCCTAAACAAACTGCCAGAGAACAATCATCCAGCAAGATCTACTGGCCAAGAAGCTTTTCCATTGGGTTCTCCAAGGGTTCTGCATGTGCTGAAACTTTACGAGAAAACACTCACCAGCAACCAACATTCATTTTAAGATGCTAAAAGGGACATTAACTTCTGTAAAACAAGCACACCATTGTGTGGAACTTGTAGTCTCACTATTATAGCACGGCCTTTAGTCCAGGTGAGTAAAAACTACATCGTGCTGACGCATGCGCGCTAACTAATCAGGAAGAACTAAAACGTTTATATTCGCTAACGTTTTGTTCAGTTAATGAAAATACAGCACAGAGATCCCAAGCCCAGCACAATAACCACTGTTTGCTGCAGAAAACCCACCGTTGGCCTCTAAATGCTGGTGTATATACTAAACAAACATGACAAATCTGAAAGCTCTCTAAAGGCTACTGAGTTTTACTCGCCACTTCGCATTGTTGATTTAAACCTGATCGTAGAAACTAATTATCCCCGCTAAACGTCTCTTACCTTATCCGACCCGGGAACGCGTGAGAGGGGAAACTTCCCTAAATTCCCCTAAGGAGACATGTGTAGTCCGTAAAACGTTTGAGAAATCCTGTGGATATTGTCGCTTTTCGCCCCAGCGCCGATCGCCAACGAGGAATTCTTCTTGGCTCCCACATTCGTTATTCCTCTTCCTCCCAGCCAACCGAAACCACGACGCCCGGCTGCTACTCGCGCACACACTTGCAGCACACTGCGCATGCGCGGGGCTGCATTCACAAGTGTCTGTCTGTAGTATTGTATGAAAGAGAGCGAATTCCGCAATGTAACGTGGAGTGCGGTGGGTTATGGTTTACAGTTTAATTCACAATATTACGATCAGCACACAGTGCACGTGCACTGCATGCATACAAACAAAATCACTTTAATTTAACATGTCCTCCATTCAACTGCACAGTCTTTCTAGCTTTTTGTTTTGACCGAGCCAAAGTTTGCTTCTAAATTCCTCATATATTCATTGTAAATATGATTTTCCTTACTGACCGGAGAAAAATCCACACTGTGCATGTCGTTTCCAATGCTATGATCCATTTGGTAAACAAGAGGAAGAAGCTAAACGTTATGTTACTATTTTGTACCTCGACTGAATGGGAAAAGCAACATTATTGATAATAACTGGGGTGTGTAAATTCCATTTTGATTGTGCTGTGCAGGACAATGAGGATTTCCACATGGAAATGAATGTGCTTTGATGCCACTGCATGACGTCAGACTGCAGTGTCATGTCTTTTCGCGTATTTCAGCGCATTTTGCCAGCAGCACGTGCTAAATGTGCAACAGAGGCGATTTACGGTTGTAAAGAAAATCCTTTTTTGGTGAGCTCATGTCGTAGTATGACACATATTTAGATGCCATGGCTATCTATAGTGCGTTATACTTAGCAGGCAGATCATGTACATTTTTAATGTAGTGTATAGCACACTCTTGCGGTTCATTTTGTTATTACAACTGACATTATTTACAATATTTTGCTTTATGTTCATCATAAGAAAGTGCATGCATGAAGTCAGTACTTCTTCTTAGAGCACATTTCTCATAATTAATTGTGCTTAAATTAATGTGAATAATCATCTTCAATATTATCAATATTCAATCCTAATTATTAACTATATAAGCAAACAAACCAATTGTGAAAAACTATTTGACAATCTACAATGACAAACAGGATTTCTGCAAACAATTTATATCCAACTCAGACTCAACTTTATTATCCGGTTTAGGGAAACAAATTGCAGCAAGGTGCTATAATACAGGTAAGGTTCCATGTACACATTACCAAAATATTACCACACAAAACATACACTACATCATTTTTTAGAGGCATCTCCCTCCCCGCTGGACTCATTTAATTACCTAATGGCCAACATTATAAAATAATTTCTAATTCTATTTGTTCTCCAAATAGGAACTGTAAAATGACGTGGCAACGGCTGAAACACAGAGTATAGGCTACAATTGGTGATCCAGGGTGCATAAAATACTCTGAGCTCTCTTTAAAGCATAATTACGGTAAATTACCATTAGACCAGATTGGTTAAAACCAATGATCCTGCCTGCCACCTTCACAAGGCTACTCCACCTGTTCTAATTTGATAGACTCAGATTATACCAACCTACAATGCAGAAAGATAAAACAGATTCAATCAATTGTTTATAAAACAGTGTCATTATAGAGGTGCAAACCCGAAACAATCCAAAGTTTCCTTAGAAAAAAAGAGTCGTTCTTGAACTTTTTTATAGACAGCCTGGGTGTTAGGCTGGAATGTCAGCATGTTGTTGAAAACAACCCCAAGATATTTATGTGTGTCAACTATTTCAATGTCCAAACCTTTAATAGTTGTTATGATGGTGGTAGGAGAATCCTTCCTGTAATCTATCACCATGTATTTTGCTTTATTTACATTCAACTGGAGAGAAAATCTATCACACCAGAAAGTTAACTCTTCCACAACAGGACCATGCCCCAAATCCTGATGGTGGAAGACACTCACAATCACTGAATCATCAGCATATTTTATGATTTGACAGTTCCCGTACATATTCTGACAATCATTAGTGTACATGATTAACAGAAGAGGTGAGAGGCAACAACCCTGAGGGAACCCAGTGGAACAATACTGAAAGTCAGAAAGAGCACCATTGATTCTGACACTCTGCAGACATCCTAAAAATATAGAATCCATGTTCAAATATTAAGATCCAAGATAAAAAGAGAAATTAGTTTCTCAACCAACAAATGTGGCTTCATATTAAAAGTAGAAGAGAAATCAATAAACAATCTGGCACGGGTATTAGACTTTTCCAGGTAATTAAACAAGTAATTCAGAGATTACAAGTAAGTAAACAAGTAAGTTTGAGATTAGCATCTTGAACTCCCCTGCTCTGTCTAAATTCAAAAACCAATGGATCAAATATATCCTTTAACTGCATTAAATTGTTCACAACCAATTAAAAAAAATAGTGAATCCAAGGAATCGACTTTAAATAAATGTTTTCAGTGTACCCACATGAAAAAAAATGTATAGTAATTTAGCAAATATAATATTCTTTTTGAACCATACTATAGGAAAGTACTTGATTTAATCAGTTGAGGTAATTCTATTGCTATTACAATTCATTAACTTTATATTAACTAATTACCCAACAATGTAACATGTTTTTAAAATCAATATATGTATGTATTTTAATATATATATATATTGATTTTAAAAACATGTTACAGTGTTGGGTAATTAGTTAATACCACAGTTAGGTAATAGTTAATAGTTAAAACCACAGTTTACTTTAGTAAAATGTATTCTACCCATTTTCATACTACACTTGCCTGTAGCATTCACTAACAAAGTTTTGTAAAATATATACACTATAATACACTAGTATGGTTAAAAAACACCATGAAATTTTGCATAAATTACTATTTTAAATTCTTTGGACAAAAAAATCCTAAATGAAGACTCAATTTTAAATGCACAAGCCTTAAAATTAATCAATAGTGATATTTAAATTTTTATAAACAAAATCTTTTAAAGTGACTAAGTAAATTTGCATGTATATGAAAACACAGCAGGATCTAATGTATAACGTCATTCATTATTCATCAACACACAATCGTTTTTTTATACGTCTTTAGATAAATGCATTACAAAAATAAAATAACAAATGGCTCAGCATATTGTTACAGTACTAGAAAACATTGATTATTATTTGTTATTTGCTCTGAAACATTTGCTTTAAAATCATCAGCTGCGTGCAGGCAGTTAGTATTTTCCTTGAATTTCAGACATTGAAGGAACTATATTCAATTTGTTTTTACAATTTAATTTATAAACATAATAAGATTGAAGACAGTATACAGTGCTCAGCATATATAAGTACTACCTCACAAATCTATCTTTTTAATTGATATTTTTAACAGAAAGCTATGCAATATTATATTTGTGTATATACATTAGATTGGTCAGTACTGAAGCCAAATCTAGAGCTTAACTAACAAAATAACAGTCCAAAAACTAGTACACCCAAATGTGAATGTTATAGAATACACTGAAAAAAAAATGTTGTCTGCAGAACTGTTGCAAACAATTTATTTGTGTTGAATTTAAACAAACAAATTTAATTTAATAATGTTTAACTTAATTTGTTTGTTTAAATTCAGCCCATATAAATTGTTTACAAACACAACATAAAAATCCAAGGAATCATCTTTGAATATTTTTTTCAGTGTATGATTAAATATTAAATACGAATTTAAAAAACAGAGGAAAAATAAAGAGAAGCAAAAAATTTAACATTTTAGTTGAAATTTTGCAGGTTATAATTATTTTTTTGAAATATTTTACTTGAGTTTAATTGTCTCTTTCAATTTCTAAATATGTTTGGTGAATAAAATATTATTTTAATAAATATATCTGTTTAATAAATCTGTTTTGTTTAAATGTACAAAAAAATACAATGCCTAAATTCACTGAGAAATAGAAACAATATTCATTTTCAAAATGGGGTGTCCTCAGTATGTCCTAACATTGTCCTCAGTATATGTGTGTGAATGAGTGTATGTGTGTTCCCCAGAGATGGGTTGCAGCTGGAAGGGCATCCGCTGCGTAAAACTTATGCTGGATAAGTTGGTGGTTCATTCCGCTGTGGCGACCCCGGATTAATAAAGGGACTGAACTGAAAAGGGAATGAATGAATGAGTTAAAGTCAAACTTTTAATTAAAACATCCTAAATTGTTTCACCTGTGCAAATGTGTCCTGCCCTCACCCCAATCAAGTGGTCCCGCAGTAAAATCAGGCCAAGGTTTACAGTAGTTAAAAATGTATCATTTTTAATTATGGATTGATTTTATGAAAGAAAATAATAAAAAATTTAGAGATTGCATTAAGATACAAATGTAGAAAACAAGTTTGAATGATATAAGAAACAGACAGCAAAATATATATAAATAAAAATAAATTAATAAATAAATAAAAAATAAAATAAAATATTAGGACTTTTGCGCACCATAGCTGGAATTGCTTAGGGCTAAATCCCCTACAGGTAACCCTTCAGGTTACAGGTTTCCAACATTTTTCAAAACGTCTTCTTTTGTGTCAACCAAACAAATGATCTCAAACTGGTTTGGAACAAGTAAAGGGTGAGTAAATGATGACAATTTTCATTTTGTGTGAACAAACCATGTAATATATATTGTTCAGAGGCAAGATAAATAAAAAATACCAGATACATTTTTGTAAAGACAGTCAGTTTCCCTAAGAGAGTCATTTATATAAACTCACTCTCCTCACTCTCATCTGAAATGAATCCCAACACCTCTATGCTCCAGAGAATCAAATACTGTCACTTTCTTCATAGAGTGATAGAGAAACAGCAGGTGAGACTGAACACACCAAATTTCCAATCTTCTGTCCTCTATTCAGATAGCTCAACAATATCAGCACGACAGACACTATTATAAACACTATTTTATACACGAGACAAGAGAGCAAAACCTTATGGCAGGACTACAAGAAGCCAGAAAGAAAAACTGCCACCAATGTGATCCAGAATCTCACCAGGGGGCAGCATGACATAATGGAGAAAAGCTGTTCTCTTTCTAGTACATGCTGTGCTGGTCAGATATTTAACTGAAAGTCTGCCTCTACATCCAAATTAAGAAAATATTTAAATACTGTAGTCGAATAGAATGAATAAATAAACAATAAATACCATACTTCCACAGTATTTGAATTAAATTAGGAATTGCAAAATTTAAAATGTTTTATGAGGTTTTCTAAATGAAGCCCCATTTAGAAAACATCCGCTGCGTAAAAACTTGCTGGATAAGTTGGCGATTCATTCCGCTGTGGCGACCCTGCTTTAATGAAGGGACTAAGCCGACAAGAAAATGAATGAATGAATATTATTACAGAGAGGATTTTGGGAATCTCTGCAAACACTGGGAAATTGTAATCACACAAGTTATGTATGTACATCTTTCTGTAAAATCCTTCAAAATATAGATTTGAATAAATCTGTGAAGTGTGTCTGTAAGTGCTGCTGAAGGCGAGATTTGTGGCAGAAAAAAAAAAAACATTTTAAAAAAATGGTCACAGTTTCAAAGCTGAGTTTTCTGTATCATTATTCCAGTCCTGAGTGTCACACAATCCTTCAGAAATTCAAGAATTGTTGATTTATTATGATCAGTTAGCTTGTTACTCAATCATAAATAATGGTTCTTATCATTAGTGTTTTGTTTCTGCTTCATATTTTTTGTGTAAATTATAATACAACTTGTGATACAATTTTACTCTTTCATGAACAAAACAGTTCAAAATATAAGCATTTAATATAAATCTAATTTAAATGTAATTAATTTATTTGTATGTTTAATTTTTAAAATGTAGTCATTGTCATAATTTAATTTGTCTATCATGAATAAAACAATTTTTAATAATCAGAAATGTTTTGTGAACCTCCAGTGAGCATATCTGAATGCATATTCATTTTAAAATATGTTGACTAATAAAAATAATTAATACTACTAATAACATGAAAATAAATAATATTTTTATTGTATTTTGATCAGCTGAATTTAGCATTGGAGAGAATATTAAACCTATTTTAAAAGAGTAAACGAAGTTAACTTTTGAAGGAAATAAATGATATATGTTGATATATATTTCAGGTAGGTATACAGCTATAATTGGTTGCACAACGATTGTTTTTTATAATATGCAATTTTTTTTCATAACAATCTAATTTGTGTTTCTTAGAATATCATTGCTCCTAATAGGTCACATGCACTTTGCATACATAAACTCCATTTCCCAGTATGCCCTACTGTCCTCCTCCACCCCCAGTCCAGCCGGTGTATTTGGATACAAAGTCAGCCTTAGGAGCTGACAGCCCGGTCCATGAAATAGATCGTCTTTCTCACAGGAAAAGCAACGGGGGTAGAAACGATTCGACTGAGATGGACGACAAGCAGACCAACTGACCCAGATGAGAGAAAGATTGCCGGCGCATCCTTCCCTCAAATTCGATGATGTGTTCAATACATGGGGATATTTCAGCGTTATGATACGCCCATGCGACGAGCCGTGTGGATGTTGTGATGTACAGTGAACGATCCAGGCAACCAAAAACATAAAGCTGAATTCAGGAAACCGCTTGTTATTTTTTGGCTAAAAGGACACAGGGATACTTTGCCACTGATCTCTGGATTACAATATTGTTGCAGCATCTAGAAAGGAACTAGGTGGCTATTATTATTATTGTTATTATTATTATTATTATTGTAAAGATGGTGGACACATCCAGTGGTGGTGTTTATTTGGGCATCATTAACATATTATGGAGAATTTCCTCTCATAATCGCTACGACCTGGATAAAAGTCATCTTTATGCAAGCCAACCGCATCACTCTCATTCCTTATAGAAAGATATGAATTTCGCTGTATTATAATTCAATACATGTCGAAATTTCGCGAATAAGCTTATCATACATCACTATTTAAATACGTCACGGATGCAAGCTTTGAGAATCAACTGCTGGGTGACAATAAAATGTCTGTTAAAATAACCATGAAAATTAAGGGCGAAATGATCGAAGTGGGCACTTGCACATACGCTCCACAGAAATAACGCGAACCGACAGTGGCGTTTGACGCGGATTAAATGACAGCAGACGTGTAGAGCCTAGAAACGTTTATCGACAAACATTAAAACGCTGAATATATGCCTTTCCTTGTATGCGAAACAATAAATGCTTAGCATTTTGCACGTTTGTCGACTAATGCTAATGAAAACCACAACTCTGCCATCTCTCTGTTGTGATTCTCATCTTAAAATGGACGCGTGCTTTCCTTAACGACTATTTAGAGACTTTAGCGATGTGCACGAGACAAGAGACGCGTAAAGTGATTTGCACGAATGTGCGAATAATTGTGCATGCTTTGAGACCGCAAGCTGGTGCATCTCCCTGAGCCTATCAGAGTTGAATGTCTGAAGATGCCTTAAGCCTGCGCATGCATGTGTTTAAGGCTATAAATATTCATTAACATCCGTTGCAAATAACATCCATGGACCTTTAAAATTATCCGAGTTTTACGTGGATTAGATTTACATGGATTAGGTCAAGACAAAATTCCATTGCAGGCTAGTTAGCTGGAAGTTAACCCCTAATGGATCTTATGTGTTGTAACATTAAAATATCAAGAAGACTTGTCTAGTTTGTGCTAAAAACAAAAACAGGCAACTACCAATCCTTTTATTTAAACTTAATTACAATAATTTTGTATGAAACAAGCAAAAAATAAATCATTCTCACACTGGACAGGCTAATCTCATGTAATCTTAAGGAATTTGGATTGCATTTCACTAGAAAAAAACTTTCATTGCAATGAGAAACACTTATTCAATATCTGTGTCAGATTAGACATGTAAGGACACACTGACTGACTAAAATGGCACTATAAATGTTTAGACACATGCAAAGTGTGCTGTGGACAATCCAAGCAGCAAATGGTGAGGACAGTGCAGGGGCAGCCCAGCAGAAGCTTTACCTATTGATTTCTTCACTCATCAAGAAGTCCTGCATTCAGTAGATGGGCTCTGCATGGATATTGTGTGCAAGTTGACAGAGGGTCTCCTCCAGCTTTTGAGACCTCATCGCTGACCTGTGCACTTAGTCATGGATCCACATACGAGGCTGAGTGGAGTAGGAGCTGGAGGTGGTGGCAGTGCTGCCCCACTACCTTGCATCAGCAGTGGGGGGTCCTGTGGACACCTGGTTCCCCCTGATACTCAAGCAAATACAAATTCAACACCTTTCCTGATAAGCATCAACAGCAGCCGGAACTCCTCTACTATTCCCTCCTCAGTGGGCTCCCCAGATTCCCACCTACCCCATCATCATGAAAGCAGCAACACATACTGGACCGCTGTCTTCGATTATGAGGCTACAGCAGACGAGGAGCTGACCTTGCGGCGTGGCGACCTACTGGAGGTGCTGTCCAAAGACTCCAAAGTGTCTGGAGATGAGGGATGGTGGACTGGAAAGATCCAAGACAAGGTGGGCATATTCCCTTGTAATTATGTAACCCAACGGGATTCCAGCTATCCAGCGTTACCACCGGAAGCTCTGGTTGGTGGAGATTCACCACTGGAAATTGATTTCTTAGAGCTGCGATTGGAGGAAGTGATTGGTGCTGGCGGCTTTGGAAAGGTGTATAAGGGTGTATGGCGAGCTGAGGAAGTGGCTGTCAAAGCAGCTCGTCAGGACCCAGATGAGGACATCAGTGCCACGGCAGAGAATGTGAGGCAGGAGGCCAGACTCTTCTGGATGCTGCGTCACCGCAACATCATCGCTCTACGAGGTGTTTGTCTGCGGGAGCCAAATCTTTGCCTTGTTATGGAATATGCCCGTGGTGGGGCGCTTAACCGGGCACTTGCTGGCAAGAAGGTGCCTCCTCGGGTACTGGTGAATTGGGCTGTGCAGATTGCAACTGGAATGGACTACTTGCACAACCAGACCTTTGTGCCAATCATCCATCGAGACCTCAAATCCAGCAACAGTGAGTAACAATTCCTTATCTTTTTGTGTAAAGGGTGATGTGATTGTGTAAAAATGAAATCTTTTGGGGGTACAGTCGGTACTTTTAAATGGACAACTTTGTACGTTATTATTGTAAGTGTTCATAGTAGTGCCATGTACCCTTAAGGCCCTACACTCTCAGAAATAAAATTACAGAAGCTGTCACTGGTGCAGAACCTTTTTAAAAAATACATATTTGTTCCCTAAGAGTCCACAGTGGTACCTCAAAGGTGCATATTAGTGCCCAGATGTACCTAAAAAGTACCTTTGAGGTACCATTATGGATCCTTCAGGTACAAATATGTACCTTTTGAAAAGGTACTATCCCAGAGACAACTTCTGTACCTTTATTTCTGAGAGTGTCTAATAAACCTCTTAAGGTTCAAGGTTGTCTTCCAAATGTAGTGCCCTAGTGATAAACTGTTGTACCCCTAATGGTCAATTTTGGTGTAAAAATCAGCCAAAGGCAACACATGTTTACATGCAATAACATTAAATGCCTGATGGCTAAATGTATATAGAAATATTTGGGTATCTCAGTTACCTTTACCACAGTAGACTACATCATTTTTTTTCTGAAATTTGCAATCACACTAGTAATAGCATAGTAATAACGGGTTTGTTAAATGTAGACTATAGTGATAGGACAAAAGGAATAGATGCTCTGCATTGAAACATTGTTTTTGTTCAAAGCCTCTTGTCATTGAACTGCTTCCTCTTCTTAAGGAGAGCTGCTCTGCTCTGGAAAAAGCTGGGCTATTTTTGGTCCTTTGTGCTATTTGCTGCTAAGCACAGTTGGAGTTGTTGTGGGCAGAAAGAAGAGGGTAGTTAAATGGACGAGTATGGATGCATTTGGGAAGTGTAACACTGCACAGTGTTAGGTTCAGCATTTGCCTTTTTTGCAGCAGGGCTTGACAGACACTCAAGAGAAGATTTAGCAAAGTCTGCTAATCCCTGTCCTTGTCAAATCTATGAAAACAGTCATCCCAGTGCTGCACCCTCTCCCAAAGATGGGATGCATGTTTATCGTGCCACTGTAGACACAGGACGGGTGAAAGCATTAGCTGTCAGAGTTTAGGGTTTCACTGCTTCTCATTATCCAGGGGCTCTGAGCTCAGGTATCCTCTTCAAACTGTAGGTGTACTTGGAGATTGGCACAGCTGCCGTGGCAACAGAGGCGGATTCCAAGCCCTCCAGCTTCTTCCCAGCTCCCGTCTATTCCACCCTAGACCCCCCTCCCCCACAATACGGTCCCCTCTCAGTGACACAGTATTGTGTGTACAGTATATTATCCCACTTAGAGCACCAATAATTGTCATCCTGACAAAGTAAAGGTATTTATCACAAAATATATCTTTGATCTCTACATTTCAGCTGTCACAATTAAGTAGCCACTTATAGCTGGTGTGTAAATCAATGGAGCTTTGTAAATATATCATGTTAGAACAATGATTCGAGGAGTCAGGAACAAAGACGTGTACATTAGCATACAAAATTACTGTAATAGCTGCTTCTCCCTCATGTTGCCTGGGGGGCTAATTTGAACATACTTGGTTCGGTGGTTGTCAGTGCATCTGAATAACTAGGATAATCTGATTACTGTGACCTCTTTTGAAGTGATGTCATTCTGTGTCTGAGAGTTGATAGGCTGGAGTCGCTGGTCAGTCTATGTTGTTAACTGATCTCACGCTGGACTTAAGTTACTGATATAGAATGGCCCACACATTGGCCAAAACAAAAGAGAAATGGGGATCAATTGGAAGGGTGACTCAGCTGAGAGTAATGCTAAACCCCTGATCACCTTCCCCTGACACACTCCTCAGGCAGGTCTTTACTGGAACACAGGAATGGCTTATGGCTAATTGCTAACGCACACTGTCTGGTGCTTTCAAAATCGTGGCACACGTTCAGAACTTCTTTCAAATTGTTAATATATCTAAACACAACTTCACTATTAGGGTATTAACATACAATTATGCCTACGAAAGGTTATGATTAGACAGGTCAGACAGATTAATTTGATAAGTTTTTGAGCTCATCAACATTGCTCAATAAAACTGGCAGACAACAATGTCAGTTTATTTTTTCATTTTGCTTTTTTGGTTACTTTAAATTATATAGTTAATAAAAAACTGTTGATTTAAAATAATCTAAGATTAGAAGTAGGCAACCCAAGCTCATTCTGGAAACGTAGCCCCGCGGACGCTTCTGGAGACCGCGATTTACGTGGCCGGAGGTACGTAAAGGCAGCGTTTAGTTTTTTTCGAGCAAACGCTACGGGGCGGTGTGGCGCCTCTCCGCCCCTCCTCTTCACGCTCGCCGGCCGACGGCTCGCCTCCGAGTGGAGGGCTTTCCCGATGCAACCAGTTTGTCCGCTTAGCTCACAGCGTTGCGTTGGCGGAGCGGAGGCCCCGGAGGAGGAGCCGGCCGCAGGGACGACGACCGGGATCGAGTCCGGGGAACAGCGGTTCCGGAAATCAGGTAAGACGAAAAAATTGAATCCGAAAAATATGGGCGAGAATGAGGCGGGATCCGAAAACGCAGTCGTAATCGAAGACGAGGGCTTTTGCTTTTTTTTTTTTTCTGGACGGCTTTTGCAAACCGTCGCTCAGGTTTAGGGAAGGAGGAGGAGGAAGAGGAGGGCGGCCGAGTTGGAGCGAGTTGTTTTTCGCGCGAGAACCGCGCGGGCGCGCGCTCCAGAGAGGCGCCCAAGACGCGAAAAAGCGTGCACAGCGGCCTCTCGCGGATCCGCGAAAACAAAAACCGCTCGAATACGTACCTCCCGGGACGTAAATCGCAGTCCGCAGAAACGTCCACGGAGTTACGTTTACACAATGAACCCGGGTTGGAAGTAGGGCAACATGGTGGTTAGCACTTTCACTGGTTGTCCCGGCTGGCTCAATTGGCATTTCTGTGTAGAGTTTGCATGTTCTTACCGTGTTGATGTGGGTTTGCTCCTGGTGCTCCAGTTTGCCCCACAGTCCAAAGACATGCGGTTTAAGTGAATTGAATAAACTAAATTAGCCGTAGTGTGTGTGTGTGTGAATGAGTGTGTATGGATGTTTCCCAGTACTGGGTTGCAGCTGGAAGGGCATCCGCTATGTAAAACATATGCTGGATAAGTTAGCTGTTCCTTCCACTGTGGCAACCCCTGATTATTAAAGAGACTATGCTAAAGTAAAATGAACGAATATATTTTATTATGTATTATCTGAAATAAATAATTTAATTTAACAAACAAGTATTCATTGTGAGAGAAAAAACTTTAACATTGTTACAAAAAATATTTTAAACAAATGCCACAAATACATGTCTTTCCACCATATATTTCACCATATATTTCTTTCATAATGTATACTGTTTGAAAAAAAAAACTGTAATGTCTTCAAAAACAGAAGCACTGATAATAAAAAAAACACAAATAATAACAAATTATAGGAACAGATTAATGCAGACTGGAGTAATGGTTGCTGAATTTTCAACTTTGCCACCCCAGGAATAAATTACACTTAAAACTTTATGAAACTTTTGCTGTTTTTTTCTTACTTTATTTTTGGAGAGTATCTTCCTACTCTCTACTGTAAAAATCATTAGTAGGCATTTAAAAAAACACACATAAAGTACATTTTATTAGTTACAAGTGGTTGCTATAGGGTATATGCACAGCTAGTGTTTCTTGTCATGCTTATAATCTTCTGGTGAACAGTTAATGTGACTTTTTTCAATTTTATACAGTTCCTTTCACAGCATCAATGTTGTAATGTAATTAAAACACAATCAGTTAAATAGACTTTAGTGTTCATTTAGTTGTTTAAGTGTGAAACGAGATAAGAAGTCATTAACACGCACGTGCCCATCAGAATCAGCAGGTTACCGCAGAAACTCCATTGAAAATTCTAGGGGTAAAATAAATTTCATATTTAAACACACTGTGCAGAAAATTTTAATTTAATACAGTACTTCTTGTACATTCTGAGACCCACTTTACAGTATATTTCAATCAGGCAATGTGGATAATTATTTTTAAAGAAAACAGACTTTAAATGCGGCGATTTAACGGAAGTGTTTGACCAAGGTTACTGAAAATTAAAAGTCCTTCTGCATACTTCTGCATATACCCCATTAACTAATTTAACTTAAAGGCTGATTTATACTTCATGTGTATGGTCCAGCGCAGCCTTTGCACCATTCCATAGCCCTTGCCATGGCTGACGCTGATATGCACCTCTCAAAAAATGTAACTACACGTTGCAATGACGCCGAGTGCAAGCTCTGTGATTGGTCGGCTTGGAAGCTATGACGAGTGTGGGTGGTGCTGAGAGTCGCGAGCCCAATGGAGCGAGTGTTTACAAGTGTCAACTCTCTTGCAGGAGCTCCAGATTGAAACTTTAGTTTTGTGTTTATTAGAGCTGCACAATTAATCGTAAAAAAGATTGCGATCTCGATTCGACCCCTCTAGACCATCTTAATCCATCACTTCTACTTTTCTGTCAATCATAATTTCAAGTTCAGGAGAGAAGCAATGGTGGCCGCACAAGTCTTTACATTGTTTTACAGACATTGTTCAGCTACGTGGATACCTCCAAATGGTATTGAAAGAGTCACATGCTGTATTTATAAGATATATTTCATCCCAAAAATGTAATTTCTATCTTCATGTAGTGTTTTTGCGACAGCAAAATCACACGTGAAGTGAGCTGATTGTCAGCTGTTATCACAGGGACTGCGGGCGCCTGCGCCTCTGAATGAAGTCTACTTTAGTGAACAGAATATAGGCTGTAAATAACAGCTAATAAAGTTGTAAATAACATTCAGTTTGTGGCACAGAGTGATTGTTTGGGAGCCGCGCGGGAAGTGAACCGCTCTCAGCAGTGAAAATGAAATCGAAAGATGTAGCTGACTGATTCCAGTCCAAAAATGATCCAAACCCCACCGAAATGCAAAAATACCCATCCAGTCTTCTGTATTCATGAAAATCAC